CCCCCCCGCCGCTACATGCCAGGTACGGTGCTAGGTACTTTTCATGTCATATTTGCTTAACCCTCACCACCCTCCAAGGCACACACTATTATTATCCCCCACTTCACAGATGAGGAAACTAAGGCTCAGAGAGAATCAGAAACTTGCCAAGGTCACATAGTGAGTAGAAGAGCCAGAAATAAGACCTAGGTTGGAAAGAGCACCCACATTCTTTCCACCTCTCTGCCCCGACCAAGAGGAATACTGCCCTTCCCCTTCATTCCCTGCCCTTACTTTGTGTGTGTCTTCACGAACTTCTTTATTGAAACGTTTCATCATCCTCCGAAGATATGTCTCAAACTCCATTTTTATCTTTTCACTGCAATGAATATTGAAAAATCCAAGAATGAAGTGGGAAACTGAAACTTGACTCCATTCCCCCAGTCAAGGCCTTTTACTTGTAATGACTCATGAATCGCTCTCCTTGTTTTCCTGCACAAGGCTGTGCGACTCATCAGGTAAATCTTCAAGCTAGCTATCTTCTGCTCCTTCTCACCTGCAAACCTTGGCTAGGGTATTCTCTACCCAGAATGCCTTCCTCTGAACCTGCACCAAATCATGCCTCATGAACATGCTTCAAAGCTCATGTCCTCCAGGAAGTCTTCTCTGACTGTGTGACCTCCTGACTACTGATTCCCTCCCTAGCAACCACTACCTTTATGATAAATTAGTGCACACTCATTTGTATGTGCTGTTCTGGTGTAAAACCTCTTTCACGTCTGTGTCCTATGCATCTTTAAGAAAACTTGATGCTTCTTGAATGACTTCTATTATCTCCATCTTTCATGCCTAATAATGTGCCCATCACAGAGTGGAACTCACTAACCAGCTAACTACCAGGCGTTGTGTTCCACGTTCTAAAGCCATCAGAAGCTGCAGAGGTATTGGAGACACCAGGATGGAATGGGGGCTCCCTACCACGGTGGGGCACTGCCTCAAGTCCTGCCGTGTGATGTGGTGGGAAAAGCTTGAGTGTCGAGTCAGCATGACAGGGATTTAGATCTTGGCTCATCCACTTACTGGCTGAGTAACTCCTGAAATGTTACCTAACCTCTCTAAGCCTCTGGCTTCTCATTCATACACTGTCTTAAAGATTAAGTAAGATAACGGACAACCTGCAGAGTCCTCGGCACACAGCAGGTGTTCAATACATAGGAATTGCCTCTCCCCATCTCCTGCCCTAGCCAGGACACAAAGGTTTCTCATTCAAGTCCTCAAGGTGAACCGAAGGCTCTCTCACCTACGGTTCCTTACTCCCTTGGATACTCAGCCCTGGTCTCCTATGTGTTTCTCAAAACTTTTCATTAAGTAGCAGCTGTTGCCAATTACATGTGACAGGAATCTAGAAGCAAGGGTCTAATCTTACCTTCTTTCTCTTGCTTTTGCCTGCTCCGGTGTTTCAATCTCTATCTCCACTGGCTCCACAGGCAGAACAGACTTAGAGAAGGCTGCATTTCCTCCTATGGCCCCTGGCACAGGCTCACTAAGTTCTATCAACAATAATTTTTTTTAATCAATAATAATAATTATTATTATAATAACTACTATACTGAACAAAATCGAGGTTCTGTTGGGAAGGAGGAAGTGAGGAAGGGATGCAAGATAGCAAACCGGTGGAGACCACTACTCCTACCATGCTTTGAATACCTAAAAAACGTCAGCAACAGCGCTGTTGTACATTTATTTGTCTCATTTAACCCTCAAAACCACCCAGAGAAATAGCCCTTAGAGGAGGAAACTAAGGCACAGAGTATTGAGCTGAATTAGACACAGACCCCCAGTATCAAGGAGCTGATGCTCATGTGTGTGTTTTAGTAGAGACTTATTCTTTATCCGAAAAAAAAACCGCCAAATGAGAACAATACCCCATTCTCTGTATTACTACAATAATGCTCATCACAACTTGCTTTGCATAGAGGCATGATTTAGGTGTCTTCCAGTCTCAACTGTAAACTTGCAAATGACAAAGAATACGTCTGTTTCATCTCTTTATGCCCTATATTGCTTGTCAACACCAGCTGAAACAAACAGAATTTGCTGAACTGGATCTAACTGTGAACTTCATTAGCAAAAGCCCTTTTAAAGAAGCTCTGGGCCTAGAAGCAATGACACTCCATTGACAATGAACACATCTAATGCCAAGATCTTGGTTTCTATAGATCAGTCTCCACTGAATGAACCTGGGCCTCTTGCAGAAAAAAAGGCTGATTCTAGGTCTAAAGCAAGGGAAGTACAGGGTGAGCCTGGCACATCTTGTGCCAGAAAACAAAAATGTTCCCAAAAACTAATAAGGCCGTGTCAAAAGAACTCAGTAGGGTAGCTAGCTTAAAGGGGCTCCCACTTAGCCAAATTTGGGACAATCTGAAGATCAAAAAGTACGATGATGATAACTAATAACATATTTGAATTTTTTTAAAAATCTCTAAGTCCATAGTGATACCCAAAATAAATACGATTGTTAAAAAAAGAGAGCTCTTTTTCACAGATCAAAGTCAGCTAATAAATGTATATGAAATGAAAGAATCAGAATATTGCCATTTTGTAATGCTCAAAGATCACCAATGCACATTAAACCATTAAGTAAAAAGTTACTGGGGACAAAATATTCACACAGAATCAGAGTGCCACCCAAGACGGTTCATTACAAAGGGAAATGTACCTTCACACTGGCACAATCTGGCAGTACCACTTACTTAGCATCACTAGTAGGAAAACCTGACATGAGGTGCCTCTTAATGGATACAATATGAAGTACAAAGCTATGAAGTATTTTTGCCAAAAGAAAAATGTTTAATCTAAATTCAATCAAGTCTTTGAAATTACTTTACAGTTTATAAGAAATCCAGGGGATACTGAAACAAGCTTACCACCACCATGAGAAGTCTGATTATTTCAGACCAAACCAGACCATGAGACATTCTACAATCAAGGGGCCAAGATTCTTCAAAAAACACAGTGCTATGAAAAGCAAAAAAGGTGGTGGGTGGGGGTGCTGTTCTAGATTAAAAGAGACTAAAGAGATATGACCAAATACAAGGCTTACACCTCGATTAGACCCTGGATTGGGGGGGGGGGGGGAAACAGCTAGAAAAGATATTTTTACAATTGGGGACTTATTTTTCATTTTCTTAGGTATAATAATGGTATTTTATCATGTAGGAGAATGTCTTATTCTTGGGAAATGCATACTGAAGTATTTTTCAGGATGTCTGCAACTTACTTTCAAATGGTTCCACAATGCATATTAACAGAGGGAAAGACATTCAACATGGCAAAATGGTCAAGTTAGTGAATCTAGATGAAGAGTGTATGTATTACATTTTCAAATTTTTTGTAGGTTTGAACATTTTCAAAATAAAAACCTGGGAAAAAGTCACGCTAGGCAGAAGGACTCAGGGATGAGAACATCAGCTGGTGTTTATTGTGAGTATATGATGCCCTAGGCCTATCACACTTGCAAACTTTTTTCCCACAACAATCCTGGAGCCTAGACTGTGCACAGCTCACAGTAAGCGATCACTCAATGTTCCTGGTGAACAGACTCAGCTCGGACAGGTGGAGTTCCTCTATGTAAGTGGTAAAGCTGGGGTCTGAACCCAAGTCTAACTACTTTCAAAGCCTTTTCTCTTTCTATGAGATGCTGCTGCCTCTCTAGTTCATAATCTACTCCACTGATAGCCACCAGAGGAAGAGAATATACAACCTTCTTTGGTAACCTGGTCACGAACTCTTCCTTTCATCAAAAGCAACTCTCCCTACCACCTTATCTTTGGTCATATTAGTTTCAAAAGAAGACAGGATTGCAATAAGTGACATGACTCCAAACAGAATCAAACAGAAAAACAGGATCAAACAGTTCTGTAGACAGAGAAACATATTTTACCTTCTACCTCTTCCCAATCATCTTCACTTTCTTCCTCGTCGTCTCCTTTGTGGCTGCCTTTGCCCATGGTAGCCTCTTTCTTTGGATGGTGTGCCTTCTTGTGGGCACTTGCAAAGTCCCTGTGTCAAGATCACAGGAAGGAAGATGAAGATGGCTCAGACAGCGTAGTGCTTCATTTAAGCTAAACGGAATTTAAAGGACTTCTATTTATTGAGAATCTGCTGCAATTATTTAAAGATGATTTGTGAGCTCTGAGCCTCATTTCCTCCATCAGCCTGGGTCTCAAATTCTCATCAAGATGGGCTCTGATCATCAATCTAACACTAGATGTGCTGTCAAAACAGAAAAAACACTATGAACCTATAACCTAGAGCTATGTGAAGGAAAACATAGCTGTGCCTTGAAATGGTACAATCAAAGTTAGAAAAAACCATAATAATGTGAGTTCCAGAAGTAAAAGCTGTGACATCTGTGTGTATACACGTGCACTGGATGCCAGAAAAAAGAGGAGGGAATTCACATTTGCTGATCCCGCTATGAGCCAACTCAGAAGATTTTTCCTCCACCTTTAAAAAATATGATGTAAGGAGAATGAAGTTGGTAGAATTCTAACTTCAAGATAAGTGGGGATGTGACTATACACAGGAATGTCATAAATAACAGAAACATGGACAGCTAGCTACCTAAGTAGATAACTACATACATAAGTAGCTAGCTAAATATTGCCTTGAGACTAAATGGTTGCTAATATGTAATATATTTCTGCAAACTCATATGTAAAATGTGTTTCGAGTATTGAGCTACTTTTAGCTTTTCTAAGGTAGATATCTGGTATCAAGTGAGAACACAGATATTTAAAATAACCAATCCTCAGTCTTCAGCTCTAAAGATACACATACTCCCTTTTTAACCTACCAAATTCTCTGAACACCATAAAAACAAAAATTTCCCCTTAGAATAATGATACAGAAATCTTCTTGTGCTACGGGTTTGACTGCAGTCAAGTCTCAACTGAGAGGGAAAGGGGGACCCAGAGCTTGCCTTGGCAGCCCCCTAGTCTATCCGTATGTGGATTTCTCTGAAAAGAACTCAACTGCTGCGGAGAGGCAACTGGGAAGCAGTAAGCTCAAACGCATTCTTAGGAAAAGCCTAAGGGAAAAGAAGAGATGAACTATGGTGGAAAATTTGCATGCTTTCTCATGCTCCTTTCTACCACTGCCCCCTCCTGGACTACTTTCCTATGCCAGCACTGGAGGTTGCAGGAAAAGCCAACATTAAGGGTGAGGATTTAGCTTTGAAGCAAAGGAACTACTGCCTCTCTGTTCTTCCTCTTCCTCTCCTCCCCCCAACTTTCCTAGGAGGTGGGCAACCAAGGGTTCACTAGGCATATAGTCATTATTCACCACATATTAATATGAATGCTCATTCACTGCAAAAATACGTGTTCAGTTTCTGCCAAAAAAGGCACTGCCCTAGAGGCCACAGGGCATACAAAAATGAACCCGGCGTGGTTCCAGCCCTCTGAGAGCTTACAGTAGTAAGCAGGGGTGTACAGCATGGCACAAACAAGGCAGACAAGGTACACTCTTAAGAGATGCTACAAGAAAGCAGAGGAGGAAGAGGGAGAAGAATCCATGAGGACTGTAGAGTAGATGGCTTCTGATCTGCACCTTCAAGGTGGAAGAAAGCAGTCGAGGTAGAGGGAAGAGTATGAGCACAACTCAGAGGCAGCACAGCACGAGCATGTGTTGAGTTAGTGACAAGAAGTCCAGCTGGACAGGAGTAGAGTGCATTTGAGGAGAGCAGCACAAGAGAAAGTTGGAACGGCAGCTAAATATTTTGTATATGTGATATCTTTGTGTACTAGGAAGAGCACTGGACCAGGAGGCAGAAGACCTAGGTCTCATCCTGGTTTTTGCTATCACCTAGCTGTGTAACCACAGATAAATCACTTTCAGCAAGCTGCCACTGTCCTCATCTGCAAAGCCTGGGAGGTAAACTATATAATCGCTAAGATTCTTCCCAGCTCTTGCTAGTGGTCTGAGCTCTGTCCAGAAGAGTTTAAAGACCTCATCTCTTCCGTGGATCCTAGTGACAAGCAAAGAGAGGTTTTATTATTCACACTTCTCTGGTGGGAACAATCAAGACCGGGTCAAAAGCTTGTCAGCCACCTCACCTGAAATCTCCCTCATCACTGAGGGCTTCCTCCTTTGCAGTCCTGAGGTCTTCAGGTTTAACAGCCACCGTGGCCACTTTCTTTTTTGCTGGGCCATCTGCTGAGCCCCCAGGATCACTGCAGCCTCTCTTCCTCGTTCCTCGTGCAACTTTTGAGAGCAGGCTCTTCTTTGGGGGTTTCTCTTCTTCAAAGACATCTAGGTGACCACATGGAACATGAGGTGAGGGACAATAAAAAAGGTGGAGGCAGTGTGGCTTCAAGGGCAGGGTCATGGAAAGTCCTCTTCTGTAATCTCCCCCCAGGCCACACCTCCATCACGGGTTCACCCTCCCACATTGGGTCAACAATCAGCTTTCAGCCTCTTCTCACCTTCAGGCTAGTCTACACGCTATGCTCACATTAAAAATCATCTTTCTTCATCAGCATTTTATTCTACTCATCCTAAGCCTACAGAGAGACCACCACCTGACTCAAATACAATCTAACTTCCAAATCTTAAATTTCAGCTGATATCTAGCAAGGAAAATACATCAATCTATTTATTAACACCTTGCTTATTTACTACCTGCCAAGACTATCTATTTTAGGGATAATCCACCCCTATTAAGTGAAATGTTTCAAGTTCATCAATATGTCCAAGTTTTACTACAACCTTATTTCTACTCATCCATGTTTCTCTCAGCTTTCAAAACCACACTCTGCACAAAACAGACACTGCTATGCAACCCTTCCAATCTAACCTAAATGGCTCTGATATACCAACCATCTCAGCAAACTTGGGGCTGGAATAAGATAGTAGTAATTCAAAAATATCTTTATTTTCTTAAAATAACTATCATTTTTTGTCAAAGGGAAATATTAAAAAATGCATAAGCTGTCACTTTTAATTATTATTATTATTTTTTCTGTGTGAGGAAGATCAGCCCTGAGCTAACATCCATGCCAACCCTCCTCTTTTTGTTCAGGAAGACCGGCTCTGAGCTAACATCTATGGCCAATCCTCCTCCTTTTTTTTCCCCCCCCAAAGCCCCAGTAGATAGTTGTATGTCACAGTTGCACATCCTTTTAGTTGCTGTATGTGGGACGCGGCCTCAGCATGGCCGGACAAACGGTGCGTCGGTGCACGCCCGGGATCCGAACCCGGGCCGCCAGTAGCAGAGCGCGAGCACTTAACCGCTAAGCCACGGGGCCGGCCCTGTCAGTTTTAATTAAATTAGGGGATCTAAAAATATAACCTATTAACTTATAAAAATATTAATACATTAATTTTGATAAATAATTTATAAACAATATGGCAGGGGAGGATATTTTTGTATTTTGCAAATTTATTCATGCAAATAATCTTGATTCTGAAATAAATCTTCCTTTGCCTTTGCATGACTCTGCTTCAATTAACTTTGGAAAACAAAAATACTCTAGCCTTTACTGAGGCTCTAAAAGGAGCTGCAATAGTAACCTAAAATATCAAATTAATTCATTCTTTTCATTTATGGTTTGTCCTGCTGACTCTCTGGACAGGTATTTACATTCCCCATGAATACACTTTTGCATATGGGAAAGAGACTCTCCCTTTAATCTAAATAAAATCATCCTTTACTTTTTTTTATTTTTTAAATCTTTTGTGAAGAAGATCAGCCCTGAGCTAACATCTGCCAATCCTCCTCTTTTTTCTGAGGAAGATTGGCCCTGAGCTAACACCTGTGCCCATCTTCCTCCACTTTATATGGGACACCGCCACAGCATGGCCTGACAAACGGTGCGTCGTGCACGCCTGGGATCCGAACCTGCGAACCCCGGGCCCCCGAAGCAGAGCGTCCACACTTAACGGCTATGTCACTGGGCCGGCCCCATAAATCATACTTTAATTTAAATAAATTTCACATTATGGGCATTGTGTTAATGTAGATAAAATCACTGATGCAGTTATTTCTATAAAATATTTTCTAAAAGAAAGAATTTATGCATTCCTATGTCTTAGCCATTTTAACACAGACACAAAAAATAAGGAGAAATTTTGAAAAACAAAATATTTCGAAATTACTTATTTAGAATCTGGGGAACAGATTTCTTATTCCAAGACAGGAAGCTGCTTAAAGGTTTGACTAGATGGTTTGAGTACTGTGCCCTTAAAATCAGGATTTCTGGATCTTACAATGGTCTTTACTCTCTATTAATAAGCAAAGATGCTAATACTTCATTTTTACTAATCTAAAAACCCAAGTGGGAGGATACTTCACAGACACTGTTTCTTCCTCACCAAACTGATCTGATTGGTTATAAGGCACAACTGTATATTTCTGTGCTTTGAAGAGAGAGGTAGAGGAGTTAAAGGGGGGGGAACTGGAAACAAAAAACTGTGAATCAAAAAAAATCATTCATATTCATAATATCCAAAAGTTTAAAAACTAATGTGAATAACCAATCATGAGATAATCATTAATTATGGTACAGTCACACGATGAAATATAATTCAGTCATCTTTTAAGACAAAGAAAAATGATATATGATAAAATATTAGGCAGGCAAAGTTGTTTTTACAGGGAGTTTCTACTGCATAAAAAAACACAGACTAGAAGGAAATATACCATTGTTTAGTGGTGGTTATTTCTGGATGGTAGAAATATGGATGACTTTTTTTTTTCCTTTATCCTTTGCTGTGTTTTTTTGGTCCTAGAGAATCCAGAGGCTATTTTCCAGGACTCAAAGGTCTGGAGTTATCTCATCTGTCTAACCAGCCTCCCTGAGCCCAACATGGTTATTTCAGCAAGACAGGAATTACCACTGTGGCTGGCTTGGTCATCAGTTGAGATTTAACAAGAATACCTGCTTCAACCTTCCAGTGGCATCTCACAGCACTTAGAATAAGACACACACTCCTTAGCTTGTTCTCCAAGCCAAGGGCCCCAACAACCTCTCTCACCTCAATTCCTACCACTCGCCCCTCACTCCCTGTGTCCAGCCAAATGGCGAAGCTCACCCCCTCCGAAAGTCTTGAAACTTACTGTCCCCTCTGCCTTTTCCCCCACAACTTCCTAAGAAGGGCTCCATCGGGGCATTCAGTAATTGGCTCAAAGTGTCAGCTCCCTGCAGAGGCCTTCCCTGACGACTGATTCTGACTTAGCTGCTTCTTCCCCACCCCCACGTCCATTTTATTACAGCAACTGGTTTATTTTCCTCATAGCTCTTATCACCACGTGGATTTGTTTTTTTAACGTCTTATTGTCTGCCCTACCTACTCCTCCCCAAAGATTATAAGCATCATGAGAGCAGGGACCTTGCCTGTTCTGTTCACTACCATAACTTCAGTACCTAGAACAGTGCCTGGGAATAGTGGGTGCTCAATAAATATTTGTTGAAGGAATTAGTGAATTACATCAATGAAGGCATTAACATAGAGAAGAAATACGAAGAAACTAGAGGTGCCCTAATAGAAACAAGGAAATAATGTGGAAGAAATGTTTTCTTTGTCCCTAACTGCTGAAAGCAGCCAAGCATCACCTTCATTTGCATGCCCCGAGGTGCTGCTAGAACTTACACTCAATGATCACCAAATCAGTGTCACCTGCAGCCCAAACCACGCCTGCTCCTCCCCTCAACCACAGCAAAGATTGCAACTCTTCCCGGAAGCTGCCTTGGGAACTTACTGCTAGCTCCGCTGGCTGGCAGTTTCAGTGAAGCTTGGGGGCATCCTTAACTATATTTAGGCTGAACTGTTACGAGCTAACCCGAATGATTATGTAACATGGACCGTGCCAGGAGCCTTATATGCTCTTACTGAAAACTCACAACCACCCTGCAAGGTAGTAGTATGTTCACAGACAAGGTTCAGAAAAGCTGTGTTATTTGTCCAAAATAATTTACCTAAGTGCATATAACTACCAAGCATTGGAGCTACACCAAACTGGTGCCCAAGTGAAGTGTTTTAGCTGGGAGGAATGCTTTTAATTTTTGAATTGCCACATATTCAGAACACATTCCCTCTGACTAGAATACAACCCCCTTTCACGACCATTTGCTGAATATTACCCATCCTAAATCCCAGATCACACATAACTCCTTCAGAGAGCACACCTCAGTCTCTCCAGTCAAACTTGATTATTCCTTCAGAAGCCACAAAGCCTTGCACCTTCTCCCATATCAGACCCTGCGTACTCTGCCTTGGATATTTTTTGTAAATGTCAACACTACTATATTCTAAGCTCCTCCATGAAATCTCTCCCCCATGTCACCTAGCCCATGTACAGCACACAGTAGGTACTCAGAAAACGTTATCTGAATGAGTAAATGAATGAATAAAATGGAACTCATTGTGAGGTAAATCACCTTCTAAGTTTAAAAATTGTTACCATTTGACTATTTCCTAATGGACGACGAACTTATATACAGAATCACAGAACTGTTGAATCTAGTGTCTGAGTCCTTGCTGGTTACCTAATCTTCTACCCAGTTATCTCAGGAAGCCCAGAAATCCTTTCCACAGCATGCACTTTGCAATTATTTAAAATATTTATTGAGCACTTAGTATATGGGGAGAGTGACAAGATAAGATACTGCAAAAAATAAGACATGCTTTCATGAAGCTTAAAGTCTGGTAAGATAGGCAATCAAAAGGAAGCAAATAAATTAAGAAGATCATTACAGATGGTGACAGGGGCGTTGAGGGCCTGTGTGATAGGGAGTATCCCAGGAAGACCACCTTAGAAAGGACGCTCAAGGAGTGTCTGAATTGACACCTAAAGGAATAGAAGAAATCAGGCACAGTAAAGCCATGAAGAAAATTCTAAGCAGAAGGAACATCAAAGGCAAAGGCTTGAGGTGAGAAATAACATGGCATGTTTGAGGAACAGAAAGAAGGCCACCAAGGAGAGTATCTGGCAAAGAAGAGTGGTAGGAGACAACAGGAGCCGTAGCAGCAGCCATATCATGTAGGGTCTTGTAATCCATGGTGAGGAATTTGGATTTCACACCAAGAGCAACGGGAAGCCACAAAGGGTTTGAAGTAGGAGCATGGCATGATCTGATTTTTTTTTTTAAAGATGGTTTGGGCTGCTGAGTGGAGAACTACTGCAGAGGAATGAAAAGAAGTAGGGAGACCAGTAAAGAGGCGACCGCAGTCCTTCAACTGAGAAGTGACAGTAGCTTGGACAAAGGCTGTGGCCACGGAAATAAAGAGAAGTGGAGAGAGTGGAGATCTAGTTCAGAGGTTTGACTGACAGGACTCGCTGCCTGACAGGATGTGTGCGTGTAAGGAAAACCAGGGGTTTGCTTTTACAAGCAGGTGAAGGCATCATTTACTGAGATGGGAAAAGGCGGGGAAGGAACAGGCTTACAGGGGAAAAAATCAAGAGTTTTGCTTTGCCCATGACAAATATAAGACGTCTATTGGATATCCACGTGGAGGAGTCAGGTTGGATCCGAATCTGGAACTCTGGGGTGAGACTTAGCTGAAGATATTCTGGGAGTCAGCACACTACTGCACTCTACGTCCTGGTCCATCCGTCTTCTGGGGACACAAAATAACTGCACTGCCTTTCCCCTGTTCAGCCCTCGGCATCCGCCAGGAGGCTGGACTTTGTCCTGTGGGCAACAGGGAGCAGGAAAGAGGCTACGCAGGGCAGCTCCCGTCGGGTCGGGCTCCAGGGGAGCCGCTGAGGGCGCATCACTCCTCGTGGGGAGGACCTGGGCGGCGCCTGCCTCCCTTGGCCCCGGTAACGCGGTCTCCTCGGCCCCCCACCTCCAGGAGCCGGCCTCCCCGCTCCCCGACCCGGGCCTGTCTCCCGCCCTCGGGCATCCCCCTCTAAGCCCGGCTCAGCCTCGCTCTCACCCGCCTCCTTCTCCTCACGCCGGGCCACGCTCTTCCCTTTGGCTTTCTGGCCCCGCAGCCCGCGTCCCCGCGGGCCCCCGCCAGCTGCGCGCTTTCGAGCCATGCTGCCCGGGCAACACTAGCTGCTCGCGTGACGCACCAACCCGCGGGAAGCTGCCCCCGGCTGCGCCAGGCGTGGCCACGCCCCTTCCTCACAGGGCAAGCCTCCGCCCCCAGACGAAGCTCCGCCCCAGCCCCAAAAGACCAAGGCGAACAGCGGGAAGCAAGGAGGTGCAAAACAGATTTCTTTGCACTTCCGGTGCATTGCGTCCTCGCGTTTCCGGAGACAGGAGGGAGCTCGCGTGCTCTCGCGAGAGGCAGGGAAGGGCGCAGGGTTTGAAACATGGCGGACGACGTGGACCAGGTGAGTGTCTTCTAGGGCGCTCGCTCCGGAGCGGCTTCTCCTCTCCCAGCCCTGGCCCTGCTCGGCTTTGCGTACCACGGTTGCTTTCTCGAAGCTCACGGGAAGGTGGCCGATCGTGCCGCCTCTTTCCAGGTCACCATGGCCTTAATCGGCCCGTTGCTAACCGCGCCCCCTGCGACTTTTGCTTCAAGCCCTGAGATCTTTTCTAGTTCGAAGGCCGCCTGAAAACTAGTTATTCCTCCCGTTCGTCGCTCCCTTTGTCTTCATTCTGACCTTTTTCTGTAGAATGGGAATAATTACTCCTGCTTGCCTCGCGGAGCTGTCGGGATTCTGATACAAAGCGTGATAGTAAGGAGTTATCGTTATCGAGCGCAACCGTTATTACTCATTCAGCAAATACGTAGTGAACATCAGCGTTTGCTTAGACACCGTTCTAAGCACCAAGGACGCCGGCATTGATATGCGTGACCCTTGTCCCCACTTGGGCTTATATTCTGGGGGAGGATAGATGAAAGGTAAACATAAATATATGCGTTATGTAGGCACTGCGATGTGGTATGGAGGACACAAACAAGGAACTGGTGTAGAGAGTAACTGATGGTCCCACAGGCTTTCTCACCTGCTCTTCCTTCTTCCCAAAATGCTCTTCCTCAGGTGTCTTTGTGGATCAGGCCACAGCTTCTTCAGCTTTCTAGTGAAATCTCACCTCATCGAAGAGGGCTTCTCTGGCCACCTACATAAAATAGCATTAGGCCCAGTCTGCTTTATTTTTCTTCATAGCATGTTATCTGTTCATATTAAGTGTATGCGTCTTTGTTTGATGTCTCTCTCCCTCCGCTAAAATGTGAGTTCCTTAAGAGCAAGAATTTTGTTTTATTCACTATTCTGTTCTCAGGTTTTACTTTTTTGTGTGTGTGTGTGAGGAGATTAGCCCTGTGCTGACGTCTGCCAATCCTCCTCTTTTCTTGCTGAGGAAGACTGGCCCTGGGCTAACATCCATGCTCATATTCCTCCGCTTTGTATGGGACGCCGCCGCAGCATGGCCTGACAAGCAGTGCGTCAGTGTGCGCCCGGGATCCGAACCGGCGATCCCCGGGCCGCCGCAGCACAGGGCGCGCACTTAACCGCTTGCACCGCTTGGCAGGCCCCTGTTCTCAGGTTTTAGAACAGTGCTGGAAACATTCGAATACTTATTGAGTGAATGAATTGAATGATTAGGGAGGCCTCTTTGAAAAGGCAATATTTAAAGCTACAGGATGAAAAGTGTGGACTGTGGGCATCCCAGACTGAGGCTAAAGGAGCGGTAGGGCTCTGTCATGAGTATATTCTTATGGTATTATAATTGTCTATTTATTTGCCTCTCCCCACTAAAATGAGCAGGGACTGACTGCTGTGTCATTGTAATCCAGTAGTTGGTTAGCTGCCCATTAACAAACACCTGTTGAACTGGGGTGGGGCCCAATTGAGGTCAGGATTGCTTTTTTTCTCATCTAACCTTTTAAGGCTGTAGAGCCTGCAGTGTTGGGTCACTTTCCTCCCCTGGCCTCATGTACTCACTGAAGAAGCTCAGTAATCTCATCAACTCTCCTGGCTTCTCCCTTCTGTATGGATGACCCCAAGTCATCCTAGCCCTGATCTTTCTGAGACCTGTTTCCAACAGTTCTTTAATAGTAATAACCTGAACCATTTATAAGTACTTTCTGTTTGCCAGGTACTGTTTTAAATATGTTAATAAAATACATTAGCTCATTTATTCCTCACAAGAATCATGAAAGGAAAATTATGGCTTCTTCATTTTACACACAAGGAACCTGAGAATTAGAGGTGGCATGATTTTATATCTCAGTTCATATAAGTGTCAGAGTCAGTAGTTGAACTTGCACTGCCTGACTCCAGAGCTAGTACTTTCAACCAGTATTCTCTACTTCCTGCTAAATATATGCATCTTACCAGCCACTCAGCACCCTAGACTCAACCTGCCCTGTACTGACCTCGTGGTCTCCCTCAAACCTTCCTCACTGCTTAGCGTTCTGACTAGTGTGTGGTAGTCATTAAGTGAATGTTTTTCAAATTACTAAATGATATTTGAGATAGGGTAAAGTCCCTGAGAGTGACTCACTATACCCTGAAATTGGGTCAGGCAGTTTGGATTTTGAGGGAACAAAGTACAGCCGTGATAACTTTGCTCTGTAACTCCTTCCTGTGGATGTATGTTTTGGCTCTCATTTATATAACACTTACTATGTGCCAGGCATTGTTCTAAGCCTTCATATATGTCATTTAAGCCTCACAACAGCAGTGTTAGGTAGGTACTATTGTCATCCACATTTTACAGATAAGAGACTGAGGCATAGGGAGGTTAAGTAACTTGCCCACAGTCACAGCATAGCAATGATTCAAACACTACGCTCTTTCTAGTACTGTATCATAAGCCTGTTTCTTTTATCAGCAACAAACTACCAACACCGTAGAAGAGCCCCTGGATCTCATCAGGCTCAGCCTGGATGAGCGAATTTATGTGAAAATGAGAAATGACAGAGAGCTTCGAGGCAGATTACATGTAAGTAAATTTATTAAATTACGTGGTGGTAGATTACATGTAAGTAAATTTATTAAATTACCTGGAAATCAGATTATTTCCTCTTCATCCCTCCCTACCCTCACCCGCTTGAAATGTAAAAACTGTCCAGTGTGGAAGAGTATTTAGTGTGTAGATGAGAGGGAGGTAGAAAGTCACCCATATTTCTACAAGCCAAATACAGCTATAATTTATTCATATTTTTAACGTGTTTTCTCTTAACAGAAATGTTTATTAAAGAACATATTCATTTCTTTCATTTTTTCACTTCTGTTTATTTTTAAATAACATTTATTTGTCCTCCATTCTTATTTAAATGTTTTTTAAATTACTGACATATACATAAATTTATGTTTTGTTGTGGAAAAAAGGCACAGAGGGGCCGGCCCGGTGGCGCAAGCAGTTAAGTGCACATGCTCTGCTGCGGTGGCCCAGGGTTCGCTGGTTCTGATCGCCGGCGCACACTGACACACTGCTTGTTAAGCCATGCTGTGGCGGTGTCCCATATAAAGTGGAGGAAGATGGGCATGGATGTTAGCCCAGGGCCAGTCTTCCTTAGCAAAAAGAGAAGGATTGGCAGATGTTAGCTCAGGGCAGATCTTCCTCACCAAAAAAAAAAAAAAGGCACAGAAATATATAGAGTAAAAGATGAAATCCCATTTTTTTCTATTGGTAACCACTGTTAAAAGTCCAGTATAGTCTTTCAGATCTTTTCTGTATATTTACACATATCTACATATAAATGTGTCCATATGCATGTATTTGTACTATATACACCACCTCTAAAAAAGGTAAATGGGATCTTGCTATACATATTTTTCAGCACTTTTCTTTTTCACTTACTCTTTCTTGGAAATCATTGATCATGAGTACATATAAATCTCCTTTATTCTTTTTAATGACTACATGGAATTCTGTATTGGTAGTAGTGATATTTAGATTGTTTTCCATCTCTTGCTACTATAAACAATGCCACAGTAAGAATTCTTACACATATTTCTTTGTGTATATCTGCAACTATTTCTACAAGATAGGTCCCTTGAAATGGTCCCATTTATTCATAAAGAGAGTATACTGAAGGTTTGTCTCTTCTTGATGGCCTGTTACTTTCCTGAGAGTGTCGTTTTTATTACTTTCATTCTACCCTAAAGTGATTAAAAATAGCTAATATTTGTCGAGCTTTAATTATATGCCAGGTACTATTACTCTAAATGTTTTGTATGTAATATCGTATTTAATTTTTGTAACAACCCTGTATGCGTAGATACTAATGATCCCTGTTTTGCAGTTGAAGAAGATCAGGCTCAGAAAGGTGAAGTTACTCGCTTAAAGTGACACAGCCAGTAAAGGGAGGGCCAGAATATGAACCTAGGCAGTCTGACTTCAGCCCCATTCTTAAGTACTATGATTCTACCTGCCATAAAACCTAAAGGTCAAGAACCGCCTGTGGAGCTTTGAAAGGAAGTAGGGACCTAGGGAGGCAAGAGTCTTAATATCCAGCTCGCCTTAAGGGAAGAGGAACCCCAGGAAGTGGAATAGCAACACCTTTGCCAAGAAAAATAGAATTGCCCTTAATCACGTGGGCCACTGGCACATGGAGAGACACCCCGGGACAGACATGTTGCCTGAACTCGTGGAGGCTTCTTCAGCTCCCTGCAGAGACTTGATTGCCTCTGTGCTGAGTGGCCCCCAACCTTCTGTTTGTTTTCTGGCCCTCATCTGTAGATTTTCACTCTTGTCAGTGTGCTCTTCCTAGCAGTTTCCCACGTGGCTGGTTGGCTACTTTCATTGTGATGTGAGCTGCTGTACCATTTAACACTTTGTTAGAAGTAAGTGTAAGTGGGTTGGGAACAAGGCCCCCGAAGGTTCACCTTTTAGTAGAATGCATGAGCTTTGGCGTTTGGAATGATCACATCCCTGAATATCTGAGTTGCAACATTTATTGATTTGAGCCCACAGGTGCCAAGCACAGTTCTAGCTAGGTTATAAATGGGCAGGGTGTTGCTCTACTTACTTTACCTTGTGGTGTTTAGTTTCAGGGAGGGTTTAATGACAGTGTCTTATGCCATCATCTTAGCCGCTGAAGAATTTTACCTCCTTTACTGTGTCTTTCTTGTTGCATTGTTACAGATGGAATTGAAGGAAGTCTACTGAAAGTGATGAATTTGCTGTTTTTCTAACTAAATATTATAAATGATGTGACTGCCCTGCATAACAAGTAGGGTGGACATTGTAAAAATAATTTCAAGTTATTTTGAGTAAATTCATCTTTGGCCACGTAAACAGTGTTGTATTTTTATCAGGTCAATTAAGTTATTGTTGGAATGATTTGTGAAGAAATAGTATATTGGTTACAGCAGGATTATTTTTTATTTATATGTGAAAGTTTGTGATATAAGTATTGTGGTTACTTGTAATTGAGCCATTTGCATGTTGTAAGTCCTGTTCATTGTTTCTTAATTTGATTATTAAATTTCTTGGTCCTTCATCCTCCCACTTCAGGCTTATGATCAACATTTAAATATGATATTGGGAGATGTGGAAGAAACTGTGACTACTATAGAAATTGATGAAGAAACATATGAAGAGATATATAAAGTAAGTCATACAATTCTCCTCATCGCTTTTAAAATGTCAATTGTTCTCAACATCCTACAGCTTCACACCTGTTTATGGAAAGCCTGTCATGTTTTGACAGCTACTCATGGACTCAGAGTGTAGCAATTGAAAACAAAGGCTTTGGGGTCAGACAGACCTGGTTTCCAGGACTGGCTTGACCACTTCCTCCCTGGGGTATGTGAGGCAAGGGAATTAACTTTGCAGACTTAATTTCCATGTTGGTAAGCAGGAATACTACCACTTACCTTATAGGGTTGCTAGGATTCAATGAGATATGACAGTGTAAGATGTCTGTATGTGCTAGTATATAACAGTAACACTGGACAGTGTTCTTTTGTTTGATGTGGATTTGATCTATAAGTACTTAATAGAAACTAAAACTGAGAAATTTAAAAATATAAACTCATTAAAAAATAGTAATAAACTTATGTTAATATAAGTAACATTTTAATGAACAATATATTTTCTAAAAAATAATTTAGTGAGAAGTGTCTTTGTTTTACATTTTTGCCAGTCTCTTTAATGCCTAGCTTAATTGATGACATCTAGATTCTCACATCCTTTTTTCTGCATTTAACCTCTTGTGATATGTGGTAGTTGAAGAAAATCTGACCTCACACACATGGGCAGTTGGAAAATGGAGGAGTAATTTTTGTGGATACTCTCCTTTGATGCTACACCCAAGCTCAACAAGTGGTAGTTTCTTTTTTTTCTTTCTTTCTTTTTCTTTTTTTTTTTTTTTTTGCTGAGGAAGATTAGCCCTGAACTAACATCTGTGCCAGTCTTTCTCCACTTTATAAGTGGGTTGCTGCCTCAGCATGGCTGAGGAGTGGTGTAGGTCCGTGCCTGGGATCTGAACCCGTGAACCTGGGCCACCAAAGTGGAGTATGCCGAAGTTAACCACTATGCCACAGGGCTAGCCCCTCAACAAGTGGTAGTTTCTTAAAGGTTAGTTGCAGTGTGGAATCTGAAACCACATCAGTGAACTTTTCATACTTCTGTTACATGCAAATTTTTTGGTCTGCCTTGCACTTCGAGTGGATCTTTTACATGTGCATGATTTTGTAACATCAAACACTGGTCATTTGGAAAATATTAGTTCACTGAGTTATGCAGATCTTCCAAATGTTGGCACATTTCATTGTTCAATATAAAAAAAGAAAATCACATTTGTTACATCTTTTAAGTTTTGGGAAGCCAGTCTCTAACCCTCCTAGAGCATAGTGGTTTAAAATGTGGACTCAGATTGCAGGACTGCCTGGATTCAAATCTTGACTCCCTCGCTTACCAGCTATATAATTGTACCAAATTACCCAACCTGTCTGTGACTCAGTGTCCTTGTCTGTAAAATGGGGGTGGTAATAGGACCCACTTCGTACAGCTATTGAGAATTCATTGAGAGGTTACGTGAAAGCTTGAGCTCTTAACAGATCTGGGTTCAAATCCTGGCTGCTGGTGATTAGTTATGTGAATTTAGGCAAGTTATAGAAACTTTCTAAGACTCAGGGACTTCCTCTGTAAAATGCCACTAACTGTGCCTGCCTCCCAAGATTATAACAGGATGCACTACATTTGGTGTGTGTAAAGCTGATGATCGGTGACCATTATGATTATGGATAAATCTGTGTCTCCAGTTTTATTCCTTTTCTGAGCTTCACACTCTCATTTCCAACATTCTTATTGAAAATATTTCCACTTTGGATGTTATCTCAAACTCAGTGCATCTAAAACTAAACAACTGGTGTTCTTCACCTTCAAAATAGGATCATTCTCAATTCCCTATTTCTGTTGATGATTTTCTCAGTTATTTAGACCATAAATCTCAGAATTTCTTGGGACTTCTCCCTTTCAGTCACACTGATCAATAACTAACTCAGTTGATTCTTCTGTCACGTTGATTTATGTGTCATTGCTTTCCCATTGCCATGACCCTAGCTCAGGCACTTCTCTTCACGTCCGCCCCCTTTCCAGCCCATGCGTGACTGACTGTCAAAGCAGTTGTCCTCAGATGCTGCTTTCATTTGTCACAGTCATGCTGAGAGACTTATAAGGCTTTCTGTGGCCGGTAGAGCCAAGCAGAAGTTCAGGCTAAGACCCTCCATAGTGTGATTGTAACTTTCCAGTCTCCTTTCTGATGACTCCTCTAGCCAAGTGGGTCTACTCACTGTGCTCAGAGTGTGCCCTGTATAGTCCTGCTTCTGTGTCTTTTCCCATATTTCCCCTAGCTGGTATGTTCTCCCTTGTCTCTTTCCTACAAAGCCTGTGTCAAGAACCAGCTCAGCCCCAACTCTTCTGTGACACTTTCTCTGACCATCTTGACTTCTTTCCTCCTTTGGTTGGATCTTCTAATTCTTGGCACTCTCAGCTGACAGTGATCTCATTTACTGTTTCATTTGTATATTGCTTTTCATCTTGTGAGCTGTTTGATGGCAGAGACCAAGGCATTAGTCATTACTTTCCCCGTGGTGCCTTGTTAGCTGTAGGCAATAAGTATATGCTCAAGTTGTTAGAGGAGTGTGGGGTAGGGGAGAGAGGAGAGATAACGAAGGATAGTCTTGTTAGAGAGGCAAGGTGCCTACTATTAAGTTTTAAAATGAACTGAGAAGTGGAAACAGCATGAATAGATGAAAAATCACAACATTATAAGAGTTTATTTTAATCCACTTTCAACTTCTGGTATATAACTTGCTAACTAGTTTTATTAGGCTGGTGACATTTTGCCTTTTTATTGATTTTATTTGAGGGTGTCAGTAGGTCTTTTTTCCAAGATTTGACAGTATGACGGTTTGTAAAAGTAAGTCAGTTAGCCTCTCTCTGTATTTACTTCCTCAACTGAAAAATGAGAGGATTGGTCATGAGCTCCTAGATTTCACACAAATGTAAAAACCTCTAGTTCTGAGTTCTGTACTAAATGATATTTAGGGGAAAACACACAAATGTAATTTGAAGGGAATACTTTGTCACAGGAAAAAAAAGAAGTAAACGTGGAGAGAAAATATTTACTTATTCAGAAAGAAAATAGAGAGAGGGGAATGGAAACGTGTTGAATAACTGCTGTGTGCCAAAGACTTGCATGTTTTATCACATGTAATTTCCCAGTAACACTGAGATCAATGGTATTACTCCCATTTTTTAGCTGAGGAACCCAAGTTCAGCTAGGAAGAGACATGGTAGGGATTTCAAACCCAGGCCTAACTGGCTTCAAAGCCTGCAGGATTCTTTTCTCTGTATTGGGGCCTGGGGCTCAGAGTAATTGATAATAGAATTGGTAGACAGTGAAATCTTAAAGTTAGCAAGATAGTACTAAATTCTTCTAGATAACTCAGCAACAGCTGAGGTAACATGGATAGACTGACTACAAGAGATTATCAGAAGAGCATACCTTGGAGATATCGTGAGTTCGGTTCCAGACTGCTGCAGTAAAGTGAGTCACACAAATGTTTTGGTTTCCCAATACATATTACAGTTATGTTTACACTATAATGTAGTCTGTTAAGTGTGCAATAGCGTTACGTCTTAAAAAACAATGTACAGACCTCAATTTAAAAATACCTTATTGCTAAAAAATGCTAACTGTTATCTGAGCCTTCAGTGAGTTGTAATATTATTACTGGTGGAAGGTCTTGTAAAACATGCGATATCTGTGAAGTGCGATAAAGCAGAGCACAATAAAATGAGGTGTGCCTGTGTAAATCTCTGGGGTCTGGCAGGCCATGCTTGGTGCCTCCCATTGTAGGCTTTAAAATCTAATTTGGAAAGTGCCCAGTACACAGAGCAATTGCAGGTACTTTGAATGTGAACAATGAGGAAAAATAACTTAGAAAGTATACACTAGATAGGAGAAAGTGTTCTATCATAATGTAAACTTACTGTAATAGTAGACAAGTGGAAATGGGAGAGATTGGAGAACTAACCTTTGGTGAATGCCTGCTGTGTGTCAGGCACTGTGCTATACATATTATATACGTCATATTTAATTCTAACAGCCCAGTGAAACAGGCTTGAGTTAAAGCTAATCTGCATTGCTATCTCTAAGAAAATATATAGTATACAGCATTTCCCAAACTTATATAACCATAGTACTTTTTGTCTTAAGAATACATATTGCTACATAATAAATTACCCCCCAAAATGTGACTTAAAAGCACACACATTTCTTAGCTCACAGTTTTTGTGAGTTAGGTGTCCAGGCACAGTTGAGTTGGGTCCTCTGCTTCGGAGTCTCTCATGAGGCTGCCACAGGGGTTGCAGGCTGAAGGCTCCCCTGGGAAAGTATCTGCTTCTAAGCTCACTTGCATGGTTAGTGGCAGGATTCAGTTCCTCAAGCTTGTTGGATTGAGAGCCTCAGTTCCTTGCCACCTGGGCCTCAACTACCTGGCAGCTTGCTTCATCAGACCCAGCAAGAGAGTGGCTAGCAAGGTGCAAGTCACTATCTTATGTAACCTAAACATAATAGTGACATCCCATTACCTTTGTAGGATTCCACTGGTTAGAAGCAAGGCACAAGTTTCACCCACACTCATAGGGAGGGGATTACACAAGGGCATGAACACCAGGAGGCAGGGATCAGGGGGGGCAGTCATAGGAGCTGCTTACCTTGGAAAATGCTGCCGTGTTCATTTCTGTTCGCTGGATCTCCAGAAAAGCATAATTGAATTAATGGAGAATCATTACGCATGAAGTGGATGCCATATGAAGATAAGAGAAGGAATGTTTTAGTTCAGAAATATGACCACTGTGTAAGGGATCTGAGTAAATTGTATGAATTGTTTTGATGAGCGCAGACTCCTTCACTAAACTTTCTATCCTAGAACTAGATGTATCTTTTGCAACTTGAGGGAAACCAGAAGAAAGTACTGCTTCATGATAGCAGACAGCAAACATGATATTTGTTTCTCCAGGAGTGTCTCAAACTGTGTTCCTTGAACCAGGAGTATTGGCGTCACCCTTGAGCTTGTTAGAAGTGCACATTCATGGGC